GAGGAAAGAGAGTTAAAAGAAGGTTATAAAGCGACGAATGGGAAACATTTGCTGGTTTTTTTGCAGGGGAAACATTCCCAGAGATATTTATAATTAATATTGGTTGTTGCTGCTCTTTTTTGGGTATTGTCTTCGGTAGTCCCTAACAAACTCAGCATGGGTTCAACAAAAACTGCTGTGTTACTCCTGCTGATACTGATGCCGATGTTGGTTGGCCTCAACCCGATCGTTCCATAATTTTCAGATACAAAAGTACACAATAGGAGCAGCAGCAACAGCAACAGCAACAGCAACAGCAACAAGAGTAGCAGCTCATCGAAATAGCGTAAATTTGTACAAATAGATACACATTTCCATACCACTATGTTTGCTTTGATACTACCGTTTTTTTTTTTGTTTGGTATGTATTTTTTTTATTTAGCCTCTACAGTTCTGTCGGCAGATATTTTGCATAGGTACCTATGTATTTTTCGGAGGAGAAAACAACCAGTATAATTCCCATTCTTTTTTAAAATTTTTATAGTTGCTGAATGCCTATCAATTATTTAGTTCCTTAGAATTTCTAGGATGTTTCCTTTTTTTTTGTCATTTTCCATTGAAAACTGATCTCCATGAAATAGGTGCCATAAAAATTTTGAAAAAAACTGCTTGAAGTTAAACTGATCACCAGCGAATACTGCGCATATCCAGCAACTATAAAACCACAGTGTTTCTTTATACGTCTCATTTTTATAACCTGTTTCTTTGAGGACGGACCTACAACATTTTGTTTTCTTCATTTCGGTTTCACTCGTTTTCTCGCTTAAAAATTACGGACGTCAATTTTTTTTTATAATTTTGTGGAACAACCGATTAAGGTGTTTACAGTCTTTTATAGTCATGCCGCAGCATATCTTCTAAGGATCACTTTCTTTATTTGTCTTTAAAAAACGTTAAGAAAAAGTGGAAAGTAGTTGAGGATGAAGAAGTTTGGATAGTTTTTTTTTTTTTTTCTTTGAAAAGAATATTTTTAGGGGAAAACTGTACACTGTAACGTATGCAGCAGAAAATTGCTTTTTATGGGATTTTAATTGGTGTTTGGTGAGTAAAATTGCACAGCATAGTGATTTGGGAGGCCACTAATTTTATGCTTGACAGTTTGTTGGAACTGTTGTTCGTTGTCATATCAGTCAGTGGTTAACTGTTTTGGTGGCTTGCGGAAATGTAGCCAAACTATCTGAAAAGACTATGGTTCTTTTTTATTTTTTATTTTTATTTTTTTATTTTTATTTTTTAAATATTCTTGTCTAGTTATAATTTTTTTTTTTGTAGAATCATGTATCTGAACAGATGTGGGAGTAGAAAAAATCTGGTCTTGAGAACATCCCTGAGTCTGCAACTCTAATCAACCCTACCAAATGGCATTGTGAAAGGGAAAGGAAAGGAAGGCCTTAAAAAAAGATAGATGCACCTCTGTTTTTTTTTTT